ACTACCACGTTTTATATTTTATTGTCGAACAGATATCCTAGTTAAAAACGATGAATGATTTTGTGCTTATTTATTTTTTTACGATTGTCATATTCGCGTTCGATTAATAATTAAATATCATGTCTCCAAGCTCTCAGAGTAGTAGTCCTTTTTAATTTAATCTTTCTACTAAGGTATAATTACACATTCGTAAAGGCATTTTTCTATTTAAGTTCTTTTACTTAAAATGTCAATCCGGTTGTTTAGAATTCAGAATTATTTAAATTTAATCAAAGCATTTAAAGCTCTTTATATACTTTTCTTTTTATTAAAAAATAAATTATTCATGAAAAATATATATGATGTATATCATCTAATACAATTCTATACTATATATAAATATAGAAAGCGTGAATATCATAAATACATTTATATAAATAACTATTTCATAATATTTGATGGTTTCATTATTTTAAAGAATATTATTTTATTACAAAATAGTTTATGCCTGTGAATATTATTATTTAAGTTTTTCATATATATGGCAATAAATATGGGACGGAATTTGGATATTTTGGAGTTCTATTGCATAAATGCATTACTATAAACTGAAAATTATTAAGAAAGTTTAAATAAATATAAAACTAAATTATTTTTAAATTTGAAAACAATAATAAAAATGTTTTTAAAAATTGAAGACGAATTAGGTATTCCAAAATATAATTAAAAATACAAATATGCAATAAATATACCAGTTATAAACAATATATATATATAGACATATATTTTCTAATCGAATCACTTTAAAGGATAAAAAATTGGATTTATATAATATAATATACATAACACATAATTTTAAATTATATATTTTAAATGAAAATAAACTTATAAAACAAACTGATTTAGTTTAAATAAGAAAACACGTATATAATTTGGATAAAAAAATTAATTGCAACAATTATTATTAGATCCTAGTCTAAGCCAACCGAAGCAAAAATATCCAATACTCAAACCCAAAATACAGGATAGACAAAGCCAATAATTGAAGTTCATGAACACCAACATTATCAGATAGGACACAATAACTTGAATACCATTCAAAGCTGTTTGTAAAATATGTGTTGATGACAAAATGCGCTCAAAATATGTTTTATTATTGATTTCTGCTAAAGGAGTACTAGAATCGCCACTGTGCTCTGCAGCCATACGTTCTTGCTCCCTACGTGCTGTTTTTATAATTAAATATTCGCGTAAAAATTTTAAGGCTTCATATAAGAAGCAAATTGCGAACCAAGCCACACAAGACCAAGCAAATTCAGAAACTGTGGACGCAACCCATGTGGTCCAAAGTATACGTTCACAGTGACCACCATGAAACTGAAAGAAAGAGAGAATTTGCGTTTTATTGGTCATGTTAAATAGAACTAAGAAAAATGTTTATTAAAAAAAAAAAAAATTGGGACAAATTCTCAAAAAATATATGCATTCTGAAGTCTAAACATAACTGCTATGATATCTCTGTCTAACAATAATAAAAATACTAATTAGATTCAGGATTTACTAACTTCTGTACATTAAAGGACATAATAAAACCGATATAGAAAATAAATAAAACATTGAATTAGGATAGTATTCTTTGCTTTTTCACTTTGTCTACCCATGGAAACTAATTTCGAAAACAGTGATTTTAATTTTGTATGATATATGGGCTGTAGAGAACTTTGATTTAGTTCATCAGAATTGTATTAGGAAAACAATTAATACAATATAACTAAGAATTTTGAATTTATTTTGGGTTTAAAAATAAATTTAATATTTATTTACGGTCATACTAGCTTCTTCACAAAATAACTAACAAAGCTGGAACTAAAATAGCCCAAACTACAGAACAGAACCTAAAATGAAAAAATATATTATTTTCATTGGAAAATAGTTAAAATAAAAAATAAAACTTGAATTATATTTTTGTCTTTTAAACATAAGTAAAATAAGAAACTTTATATTAAAGTTTTATAAAATATATACCTATATATGTGAACGTTTTCTATATATGTTTTCTATAACTCATGTCATGAGGATAGTTATAATACTGCTATAATCTTTGATGTATTATTGCCAAAGTAACTAATATCTTCACATTTACCTTATCATTATTATCCTAATAATTATTTACAATATATTATCAATTATAAATGTCCTTTTATTTCTAAATACTTAAAGTAGTTATTTTTGGAACTGAGATACTGGATTTAATAACTGTAAGTAGAGAAATTAAATGGCTAAAATATACTAGATATATATAATAAGAGCTCTAACGATACTATTTACACTTGTATTGATTAGTTATCCTAACCAAAACAATGGTACACTTTTATTATTATAGTCAAAAAAGATATAGAACCAAAAATTTTCTGTAGATTGAGAAATTACAATAGGAGGTGGCCACAAGGAACTTTTTTGAAAGATTATTTAATAATTATTTTATAACAAAATTTAATTATTGAAATCGAAGAGAACAAAATTGGAGAAATTTCTGCAAAAGCCTGTCCAGACATACATACACGCTGTCTTTCTGCGAGTATTAGATTAAATAAATTTGGAATATAGTACCACAGAATAGGCAACAACTCCCCCATTAGATGAAGATAAATCCACTTGACAGTTCTATAAACTTGTCTAAATTCCTAATTGTACAGGATGACAGCCCGAACATGTAGGTAAGAAAACTAGACCCGAAAATCGATCCTCTTCTAGCTAAAAATGAGCACTGACACATAAGATGGAGCACTGTTTAACCCTCATCCTCCAGCCACAATCACGACAAATATTGTCATTATAGGATAAACCCAGTCTCATAGCATGCCTACATATTATACAATGACCGTCAGCACTGATACCGTAGTACAGAGCAGGTGAAGAGGGTATTATTCCATGCATCCTTTTTTCATTATTAATTATTTCTTCAGAACTATTTTTTTGTTTATAATATTGTTTGGATATATCAGTGGATATAACAAACTGAGAACGTAGGTATATAATCTATAAATTTTTCTTGAAATAAATTTTACAAATAATTTTGTAAACTAAAACATCAATAAATTTACCAACTAAATATAAATGAACTAAATATAATGGAACCAAGCATTTTGGTTCATACGCACTTGACTTCACCAAAATAATATTATTAAAGTGATGCAATAAAGCATAGTTTTATTTTAGTAAATAGTTAAGATTAGCAAAGATGAATGGAGTATAGAATAGATTTTAGCTTTAAAGAAGATCTTATTCTAATAAGGGTTAGAAACTGCTGAAATAAAGTTTTAAACCAAAATGAATAAATAATGAGAGGCACCCAAGATTCGTCACAATAACTAAGACCAACTTTAAAAAAAAATATTGCTTCTATAAAACTAAATTTTTTTTGTATATACATATGTAAAATCAATTATTAAAATATCACAATCGTGACAAACTAAAACTATAAGCCACGAATTGAATTTGATTCCTTTTTGAAAGAAGACATATTTTTTTATTCTTAAAAATAATTTTTGCACTCAAAATAATTAAAAATAGTTATAAATTTAAAAAGTCCTTCTTTATTATTTTGAAAAGCTTAAAATGAAGCTTTAACTTACCACCATAATCATTGGACATTTTTTCACCACAGTGGTGCTATTACTTCCACTACCCATATCCATTATGTGTAAAATATTATATAAAATTTTTTATTAAATAAACAAATAATTCTTTAAATTGTTCAATAAAGAAATTTGTTAAATAAAACTGTTCTTGTAAGTACGGTAACACTTGTTTAACGCGGGCTACGTCTACACTGAATTTCCATACAAATTTGCCGAGGGTTTTTAAAACTCTGGGAATATGTGGTAATCCTATATAATAGATAAGCGCAAATATTGTGTAAAGAAAATATATAATATTATCGTGAAGTAACAATGAACTAAAGTACAGGGAAAGTTGCTTTGTAACAGTGAGGGAAAATGGAAAACAATAAACAGCGGCACAGGGGGAAAAATAACGTATCTTATCACTAAAGTATAGAGGCTTTTGAGAAAATACAAAACTTAAGTAGGTAGTCATAATTTAGGTTAAGAGAATTTTAAGTAATTTAATATACAATTAATTAATAAAATCAATAAAAAATTTTTAAATAATTAAAATGTTTAACATTGGAAAAAGGTAGTAAATAAATACAATTAAAATATTTCATATATTGAATATAATATCATAAAAATTAATAGTAGCCCAAAAGAGTAGCCTTTGAAAACTGGCTATATATTTCTTCTGTCTTAGCAATAAACTGATAAGAATCTTTAGGCTACGATAACAACACAAATCGGCTGTCTTCAATTGTTTTAAGAGTAATGATTTCAAATATTTTTTTTTTGCCCTGTTTTGTTATTGTAATTTATTTCAGTCTCTTGTTCATGCGAATTTTATTGTTTACTATGCCAGTTATTTTTCAACTTTGCCTTAACACGAGCAAAATGGATTTGATAGCCGCAAATAGGTGTATCTAGGCGTTTTTATTTTTCTGGCCAAGTTAAAACGTGTGCAAAAAACTTCATTTTAGCAATATTGTAGGGCCGTGTGCAAAATGAATTCATCGTATTTTTTAATTATTGGGGCAAAGTGCATAATTGTGGTGAAATTTAAATTTGGTAAAATTGGTTTTAATCTTTGTTAAAAAAATAGACATGTTAAAAACTCTACAAATGCGTTAAAATTTTGAATGTTTAAATGAATTATTTAAAAAATTATATTATAAAAAATATTCCCGACTTAGTGAATTTCTTATAGTTGTTATATAGCCTATTTTTTAATTACATAAAAAATTATTGCTTGTGATTTTATTTATTATTACAATTTTTTAAAATTCTAAAAAACATAAAAAAAAACTAAGATATTATATATAGAAATTGAAAAATGAAAAGTATATCATACATTGCTTCCTTCCAACATAATATTTTCAAGCAAAAAGTTCTAATAAACTTTTATGGCACCGGCAGAGAGTTCATAAGCCCCATTGCGACTATCATAAATCAAACGGAAGAAATTGTATATATAGTAGGTGCAGAATAATATGCAAAATTTCATTTTAATTATATATTTCTAAACGAATGTTTTTTGTGCAAATAATTAAGAAGCAAAGATTATCTTTAACATTTTCGTTATAAAGTCTGGAACATTGGTTTTATTGACCATTTGCCATTTCAAGTCATTAAACAGGTATGAGTAAATCAGACAAAAAGTTGCATCATTATTTTTTTAACACACATTTGATAAGAATATTGACAAGGGGCATTTGAAAAAAAATAACAATTTCATACAACAATAATTCAATTAATTTTGAAAATATAAAAATATCAAAATATACACTTTAAATAAAACAAGCAATTAATAGCACAATTGCCTCATAATCACTTAAAATATATCTGAATATAATATATTCTATAAAAATTAAGTGTAAAGTGATCAAGGTATTTAGAATGTTTCAAATATACATTTCAAGTAAATTCTTGCACTACATTATAAATGATTCTTTTTACATATAGTAAATAAATAAATTCAATAAAAATTATTAAATGATAATTCTAGTTTACTGCACTCTTAAATTTATAAACAGGCTATTCGAAAACCAAAATAGTTTTAAAACAGTGACAAACACCTTCTATAATAAATTAATTTATTCCGAACAATGTTGTCCTAGATTGCGGAAGTTTAACAGCACAAAAAAAAAAACAAAAATAAATTTTTATTTTTCACTATATTTAAATGCAAATTAATCAATTTATTTTCTTAACATGGACTTAGTCAGATGAGCAATATTCTTTCCTTAAAGTATGTTCTATAACGAATTCTATATATAATCTATATTCATGTCCACCTTCTTTCTTTTAATGACTACTCGCATGCTGTACTTTTAAAAGGTAGATATTTTTTAATGCATGGTTGAGACTTTTACCGTCTTGAAATTTATTAATTATTAACATTATATTTAAGAAATAAAAATATTTAGAAATAAAAATATAAATAAATAAATAAAAAAAAATATTAATTTGAAACTTATAAAACAAGCATTAAAAACTGACGTTAGCAAATTTAAATTTTGGCGGTACTTTTGTAATCTTTGTAATATGTTACCCCTAAAAGTATGCATGGAAAATACTGGCAATAGCATAATATTAAAGTAATATTTTTAATTAATTTAAATTAAATTTGAATGTTTTTCAATATTTCTCTACGAAAAATAATGAATCGACACCTTTTATATTTTAAATAATAACTCTTGAAATCTTTCTAGCATGTGTTTTTGTTTAGAAGATTCAATAGTGATCATAACATATGATTCATAAGTATAACCTGGCATGACACCACATGTCTAATCTAAATCGCACTCAATATTTATCATTCAAAGTAAGTATTAATAAAGCATAAAGAATAAGCACATAAAATTAATAACAATTATACAAAATATAAAATAACTCATCGCATACTAATATTATTAAACTTTTCTCAATTTTTTGTCATTGTTTAATGTAAATTACGTCTTTAATGTTATTATCTATCGAATTAGAATTGTCGAATTAGAAGAGGAGTGTCATTTCTTGTAACATGCCATATAATTTATGGCCAAGTACAATGAGTATGAAAACATACTAATAAGTAATCTGAAAGCACGGAGGGTGTTTTGTAACACACTCAAATAAATTTTCATAATAACAATAAGAGAATAATATTATTCTTTATATTACTTATTGAAGTATGTATCAGTTTAAAACCAGTTCCCATTTCCAATGTGAAAAGTTCAAGGTAGAAACAAATTTATTTTAAAACAACAAAAAATCCGTGACCCACAGTTGTGGGCTGGATTGCACGCGCAACATATGCAAATAAAATAATCAAAAATTTCTTGCCATTAAAGAAATTGATAAGGTAAATATTAATATGTAAATGTATATTAAATATAAATAAAATTAATCTGTTTCAGTTACAGTTAAAAAATGCTGATACGCACGATTTGTGGGCGATTTAAACCGGCAACATGTGCTGTAATATATCAACGTTTAAGTATGTCACAACAACAACAATTGCAACTTTTACAAAGCCATTCATGGCAATGTCATAGGTTAAAACACAACCCACTTATACAAACTAGAAGCTCATCTTCACAAACGGAAGATCATAAAAACCAACCTAAAATTCAAGTACAAAATAATCAAGTAATTACAAAGAATTTATTACAGGAAATTCGTACAGCACTATCACCATATGCGCGTCTAATGCGCTTAGATAGACCTATAGGTAAGCTACAGCTTAGTAAAATTTTCTGGATCTGTGTATAATTGTGTCCATATTTACTTGTGTTAGGCACATATTTACTTTTTTGGCCATGTGCTTGGAGCATAGCATTAAGTGCTAACGCTGGTTGTTGGCCTGATTTTACTATGCTTGGACTTTTTGCAACTGGTGCATTCATTATGCGCGGTGCTGGTTGTACAATTAACGATCTCTGGGATAAAGATATTGATGCTAAAGTAGAACGTACACGTACGAGACCATTAGCCTGTGGTGAAGTAACACAATTTGATGCCATAGTTTTTCTCTCAGCTCAACTTAGTTTAGGATTATTAGTACTGCTGCAGTTAAATTTGGAATCAATATTATTAGGTGCATGTTCATTGGGTTTAGTTGTGACATATCCACTTATGAAACGCATAACATACTGGCCACAACTTGTTTTAGGAATGGCTTTTAATTGGGGTGCTCTTCTGGGATGGTGCGCAACGCAGGGCTCAGTTTTTTGGTCTGCGTGCTTACCATTATATTTATCTGGTATATGTTGGACAATTGTTTATGATACTATCTATGCACACCAAGATAAAGTTGATGATCTACAAATTGGTATAAAATCAACTGCATTAAGATTCGGTGAAAACACTAAATTATGGTTGTCTGGATTTACTGCTTCTATGCTATCGGGTTTAACAGCTGCTGGTATGGCTTGCGATCAAACACTACCCTATTACGCTGCTGTGGGCATAGTCGGAGCGCACTTAACGCAACAGGTAAATATTTAACCAAGTATTTGTAATTAGTTTATTAACCATAATATTTATTCTGTAGATATATTCACTCAACATTGATAATCCAACCGATTGTGCGAAGAAATTTTTTTCAAATCATCAAGTTGGTCTTATATTATTTCTGGGTATTGTTTTGGGTACACTATTAAAACCCAAGGACCAAAAAAGTAATAATACAAACTTAACAAGTGGCAGTTTACCACAGCTACAACAGACCACCGGTACGTTAATGCAAATTTCGAACAAGCATGAAGTGCTCAGGTAGTTCCCATTCTACAATAGATAGGAATTATATTTTATAACTACAAAAATTGTATAAAATTATTTTATACCAAAGCGGAAATGTTTAAAACAATAGAATATTAATTTTATAAGTACCTAAAACCAGATAATTTTAACGTTTTAAGTAAAAAAAATTAAATTTAGTTTAATATTTGTGTTGTTTATTAAATCCATTGTATGTATTATTAAATTGTAATGTTAAAGTCTTAAATAAAAATTGTAATTATATTAAATCTGCTACATTCATGGGCATTTCATCAATTTGTGTAGAGTAATATTGTTCAATATCACGTAGAATACGTATATCATCAGATTTTACGAAGTTTATGGCTACACCTTTACGTCCGAACCGACCTGAACGACCAATACGATGTATATATAATTCACGATTATTTGGTAGATCATAGTTTATAACCAACGAGACCTGCTGTACATCAATACCACGGGCCCAAACATCAGTGGTTATTAGCACACGTGATTGGCCAGCTCGAAACTCCTTCATAATTTCGTCACGTTCTTTTTGCGGCATATCGCCATGCATAGAGCTAACTGTAAAGTTTGCTTCTCGCATTTTTTCTGTGAGCCAATCTACCTTACGTTTAGTATTACAGAATATGACTGCTTGTGTAATAGTTAAGGTATCATACAGGTCACATAGGGTATCAAACTTCCATTCTTCACGTTCAACAGCAACAAAAAATTGTTTAATCCCTTCCAGAGTCAATTCATCACTACAAATAACAAATATTAATGTAATGTTTTAAAATAATTTATTATATGTATGTCCTTACCGTTTTACTAAAATACGTATTGGATCCGTCATAAATTTAGAAGTCATTTCCAAAATCTCATGCGGCAATGTAGCAGATATAAGTACAACTTGTGTTGCTGGTGGTAAATACCGATATACGTCATAAATTTGTTCCTTAAAACCTTTATTCAACATCTCGTCAGCTTCGTCAAGTACCAACATTTTGATAGCTCTAAAAAAACAATTTTAAATGTAAATACTTCATTTAAATCGAAATAATTTCAATTCTTTAATATATTACCTTGTTCTCAAAACACGCCTCTTTATCATATCGAATACACGTCCTGGTGTACCGCTTACTATGTGCTGACCATAATCTAACTTTCGTATATCCTCACCCAAATTTGTGCCACCAATGCACACATGACATTGCACATTCATAAAATCACCCAAAGCAAGTATAACTTTTTGAATTTGTACAGCTAATTCACGAGTCGGCGATAAACATAATACTTGAGTTTCTCGTAGACTTGTTTCAAGGCTCTGCAAAATAGAAATAGAGAAAGTTGCTGTTTTCCCTGTACCAGATTGTGCTTGTGCGATGACGTCGCGCCCTTTAATAATTGGTCTTATACTACGCTGTTGTATAGCGGAAGGTTTTTCAAACCCTAAAACACAATTTATTGGTAAAAAGTTATAGAAATATATTGTGTGTATACATACCATAAGCGTATATGCCGCGTAACAATTCCTCTTTGAGGTTCATAGAGTTGAAAGTTGGTATGACCTCAACATCTTCACTGGTTTCGAATTCCACATTGGAAAGATCTTCAGCTGGTGCAGACTTTCTTGCCATGTTGATATATAAAGTTTATTTA